TGCAGTGGTGCGATCTCAGCTCACTGCAACCTCCACCTCCCGGGTTCAAGCGATTCTCCTGCCTCAGCCTCCTGAGTAGCTAGGATTACAGGCGCATGCCACCACGCCCAGCTAATTTTTATATTTTTAGTAGAGACTGGGTTTCACCATATTGGTCAGGTTGGTCTCGAACTCTTGACTTTGTCGTGATCCGCCCGCCTTGGCCTCCCAGAGTGCTGGGATTACAGGTGTGAGCCGTTATGCCTGACAGAGAGTAGATTTTAAAAGTTCTTGCCTCAAAAATGATAAGTATGTCAGGTAAAGGATATGCTAATTAGCTTAATCTAGTCATTCCACAATACATGCATATATCAAAACATCATGTACACTGTAAATATACACAATGTTTTGTCAATTAAAATTGTTTTTAAATGTTTAAAAAGAATCATTCCTGCTTTCTGACAGCGCCCAATCCGTAGCAATCGCCTGCTTCCTTAGACCTTCCCCTATATTACTCAACCAAAGTCCAAATCCTGTAACAGAATCTTTCTAACACCCCCTTACTGAGACCCCCATAGTTCCATATGGTGTCTATCCTCCTTGCTACAATGAGTGATAAACTCAACTTACTCAACTACAGGTGCATTCCTGTGATCTTTGGCTGAAGGGTAATGACGCAAGAGATATATGCCCCCCTCTCTTCTACACTACTTCAGCTCAATATTCCCCCAGCCCACAGGACACTCCCAAACCCTTTGCCGATGGGTCCTTGTACCTGGTGGGCACCCTTCTTGGTGGAGTATCTCTAAGACTACTCAGGCTGGCAAGCTTCTTGATATCTGTGGGAAACCCATGGTGCTGTGCAGCCTGCCCCTGCGACGTCCCTCTGTGTCCAGTCAGCACAGGGCCAGACGCCAACCTGCCTATTCAGGAGACATCTAATTGGACAATGGAATGGTTGTCTCTTTTTCTTGCAAACATCACAGATCTCTTGGCTCCATTTCCCTTGTCTTCTTAGGAGTTGGGGGGTAGGGATTAAGGGGAGGAAAAAACCTTCTGCTGTCTCCAGTAGGCTGTCACCCCAAACCTGTTTATATGTATGTGTGCGTGGGAGCCTGGAGGAATGGTGTGTGGGGCTTGTGGTGCTTGTGGTAGGGACATGTAGCATTGAGGAGCATTCTGGTTCAATATTTTTTTTTTTTTTGAGACAGGGTCTTGTTCTATCACCTAGGCTAGAGTGCAGGGATATAATCATAGCTCACTGTAGCCTCAAATTCCTGGGCCCAAGCAATCCCCCCACCTCAGCCTCCTAAATAACTGAGATTACAGGTGCACACCACCATACCTGGCTATTAATAATTTTTCTTTGCTTTTGTAGAGACAGAGTCTCATTATATTGCTCAGGGTGGTCTCCAACGTCTGGTGTCAAGTGATCCTCCTGCCTTGGCCCCCCAAAGTGCTGGGATTATAGGCACGAGCCACCACACCTGGTGCTGATCCAATTCTTGGTGGCTCTGCTTTAGAATGTGGGGACACATAGCACCTATAGTTTTGGGTTGTAGATCCTAGTGCCATTTTTAGGCAAGGGAAGAGTTGTTCTATTCAACAGTCTGTTACAATAGTTATCTATCATCTTTATTATTTCATTTTTTTCTCCTGTCTCTCCTTCATCATCATCACCATTAATAAGTCAGAGATTGTCAGGTGGTGGGGTAGGGTGTATCCGATCACCCAAACTCAGATAAACAGTGCATGAAAAGGGGCTAAGCCAGTGGAAACCACTTTGGCACATTCCAGCTACCACACGAAGTTCAGCTTAGCTGAAGCAAGGTGAGTATGTGGAGAAGTGGGGAGAAATGAGTCTGGAGAGAGGGCAGAAGAGAGATGATGAAGGGCTTTGCACACCACGCCCAGAGCTTTGGACTACATCTTATAGATGACTGTGAGCTGTCGAGGGGTGCAGGGGAGAGGCAAGGTCAGGTTGTGGTGTTGGACGGTCATTACAGAAGTCAGAGGGAAATGGATCATTAATAGGGACAGACTTGAAGAAGGAATGTAGTTTCCACAATGCAGGGGCTACTACTGTCAGCCTATGCTATGCCTTTATGGGAATTAAAAAAAACCCACCTCCACTGGGCAGATGCAGCACTGAGGGTTCAAGACTTGGCAAGCAAGTGGTTGCTTTGTGTGAGGAAAAAGGCGTCCCTTCCTCTGATGAGGCAGACCCAGCCCACATGAAGATGTGTGGCCCAGCAGGTGGAGAACTGAATTATAGTTTTCCTTGCTCCCTGGGCTGGATGCCCCTGTGCAGTGTGCAAACTGCATGTCCCTACAGGGGAGCATGGCCTCATGCTAATAGTGTGTCTGGTACAGAATTAGCAATCAATTAAAATTTTTTTCTTTCTTTCTTTTTTTTTTTTTTTT